TACCAAAAAAGTTCTTTCTGTTCAAAACTCAGCCTCATTCTAGAGAACTGGCTCTGGCTCCTCTCCTGTCTGAATGGCAGGAAGCAGCCTTCCACTGGTTCCCCCTTTGGAATCTGCCCACCAAGATGGAACTTCCAGAAGTCACTTGGGGGCAATTCTTCTTATGCCCCAAAGTTCAAATGGGTTCCAGGAAGAAAAAAAAAATTTCAGCAGCCCATTTGTCCGGACTGAAGTTGTGATTGTGGCTCTCAATGGACCATCCCATCCTCCTATTTCTTCCAGAAGCAGCCTCCACAGCCTACAAGCACAACCCACCCAGGCCCTCCCACTCCCAACTCCCTGCGCAAACCCTGACAGAGATCTCCTGGAGAAGGTACCCAAGCCACGCATCCACAGACCCACACACAACACCCCGTCCCTGACTCACAGCTGGCAACATTAACTCCAGAAGTAAATAAAAGGTGAAAGTCAGAACCCAAAATAGATTCCCCACAGTAAACCTCCCTCCCACTCCCTTCCGCGGACCAGAGGAGGCCAAAACGCACACAAAGCCCTTGGCCTTTCAAGAGTCTCCTTAGGACCTTTCTCCCTGCCCTCTGAAGCATCGTCCATTCCTCCGCCCCCCCCCCCAACCCCAACCCCTAAGTCTCAGCTTCCTGTGCACTCTGAGGACAGGGGATGGGAGGAGAACGGGCAGCCTGATGGCAGATAATCACCCCAAAACAATAGGCCACTGTCTCTCCACTCCCAGGTCATTCCGGCTGTGCCAAGAAGATTCTTTCAGAGCCGGCAAAGTTGAGGCCTCATTTGCTCAGTACTGAGAGGAGCAGTAGGAGCCAATGCGCAGCGATAACAGAAGCTGGGGACAGGCGGTAATTTAACAAATTCTTGGGCACAACCAGCTATTGTTACCGGTAAACAGGAGCCAGTGGTTGACCTGAGCAGGGAGGCCTGGGGCCCAGGGAGTATGGGGGAGCGTGGAGAGAGGAGAGCAGACTGTCTTGTCTCCCGCAGACAGACACACAGACAAGACACCTCCATCACAAAATCATCCCTTCTCTGACTGTCTCTGTTTTCCTGGCGCCCTGAAGCCTGGCCTTAGGCAGCGCCCCCTGCAGGGCCCAAGACACTGTGGCGCAGCAGTGGGACAGTAGCATAACGTTCTAGGAGTTTGAAGGCCAAACAAGCAGTGTCTTGCTAAGAGCTCATCCACATAGGGTCGGTCTGGATTATTTTCAGGCAAGCTAGTGCTCTTCTCATAAATCCTCTTGTGGGAAAAGCAGGTTCGATCGAGCCTTCCACACAAAAGCCAAAGTGCACTGACCAACAGTGGGGGAGGGGGAAGGGACGGAGAGACTCAGAGGGTCTGGAATGGGACACGGAGGGCGGGGGTGAACGTTCAGAGCCAAAATACTAGTTAGAGTTGAGGTGGGTCTCTACAGCCCTGACTCACCCAGTTAGGGCTATGGGAGGGACCTAGCCCCACCCCAAGCTCCGTACTGAGGCATCCCGATTAGTACTTATAGGGAGGGAGGTGCTAGTAGCTGCCTCTCCTCCCATTAGTCCTGGGGGGCTTAGTAAGGATGAAGCATCTCATAGCAGACCTGGGTTTTTTCTCCTCTCTCCATGCCTCCCCCCTCAACTCCAAAGACAAAGTTTCTGAGCATGGCAGCCCTCCTACTCAGAAAGCCCCTCCTCTTTCAAGACCCCAATCCAGCTGTCCCCTCGGGAGAGTCCTGACCCTCTCCTCATCCAGCAGCTTCCCTCTCCCAAAGGACCCCCCAAAGCCCCAAGGGACACTCACTGTTTTGGAGTCGAGCTCGTGCCGCGATTGCGCCAGCACTTTATCCACCCCCGCCTGGTCCATGAAAGTGACGAAGCCGAAACCCCTGCGCGCCGTAGTGAGGGAGAGGCAGATGGTTACAAGGCAGTGAGTGGCAAATGGAGGGGGACGAGCCGGTAGTCGGAGGAGGGGGTGAAGGGCTCACCTGGATCTCTTGGTCAGGGGGTCCCGCATCACCAGACACTCCTTCACCTCCCCGAACTGGCCGAAGTATTCGCGCAGCCCTTCTGTAACCACACACTCGCCTTCGGACCAGCTCGGGCCCGGTGCCCTTCCCCCCTCCCCCCCGCTCCGCGTCCTTTGCCCCCGGTGACCCCGGCGCGGCCCGGCCGCCCCCGCGCCAAGCTGCCCGCTCACTATCCCCCCTGCCCTCACCCAGCTCCCGTGGAGCCTCCGAGCGCCCACGGGGGCCCGGGGAAGCTGAGGGCCGAGCTGGGCTGGAGGGGGTACGGCTCCGGCCGGGTTCCCGCCGCTCCGGGAGCCGCCTCACAAAAGTTTGAGCCGCAGGTGCGAGTCGAGTTGGCGCTGCCGCCGGCGGGTCCCGGGGCCCAGTCCACCCTCCCGATGCTCCCTGAGCCCCTCATCTGCTCCGATCCACCCGCGGGGCCGTGCGCGTTCGCCCACCGCCCAGATTCTTAGGGTCTCCGGGCGGGGCGCGAAAGAGGGCGCGGGGGCGCCCAGGGTCAGCAGGGCGCAGGGCCTGGCTGGGGGGTCCGGTTCTGGGGCGCCAGGGGGTCCAGGGTGCCCTGCCGGGCCGGCGGGCGCTCCCGGGCTCGCTCACCCTGCGTAGTCTGCCAACTGAGTCCCCCGATGAACATCTTGCTGCGGGAGGAGGAGAGACACAAAGGGCCCGCGTGAGCGCCG